AAAAGAAAAAGAAGAAGCAATACATCACAAATATAGGGCAAGTAAACGGGGCTGAACAAAGAATCGATTTGAAATTGAGATTAAAATAATCCAATTAACAAATCACAACAGCTGCAGCTTAGAATATACATGGTCTTGGTATTAAATTAGATTGATGTTGTAATTCAAGCTTATTTAATTTGAAATTGAATCTTTTTGCCCATTGATCAATGCACAGTACATGGTTTATTTTAGTCTTATTGTTTTTAGTCACACATTGCATATTTCGTAGCAGATCTGAGCTTAAACTGTCGTGTTTTACAAATTTATGACTCGACAGCCACAACCTAGAAGGTGCCTCACGTGGTAAAGCTCCATCACATGTTCAATAAAAAAATGAACCGAAACTTTAAAAAAAGGATATCACCAATCAAATCTTTAAATATATCCCATATGTGTTCCCTAAATCATTCAGCTCTAGAAGCATGTACGCCACATAAAATTGGAGGATCAGTGTTTAAGCCCTTCAGTAAACTTTCCCCTCAGTTCCTCCCTGTCCTGACCCTGATCCCTCCGAGGCCACGACTCTGGAACAGCAGGGATCAGCGGCGAAGTAGGACGCGAGCCGGTTGAAGGTTAGCCGAGGTTAGCCGAGGACAGTGAAGATAAGCGGGAGGAAGGTGCTGGCGGTGGGATAAGAGAGCAACATGACGGAGGATGATGTGGGTTTATGTTGCAGATAAGCTGCGAGGAAACACAAGGTCAGCGTCACAGGACAAACAAAGAGATGAGGCCTCGAAGAGGAGAGGATGCGGAGGTCGAGTTTTGCTTTTGACTGCTAGTTTCTGTAAGTTTACTAAATTAAAAACAAAAAAATAAATATTGAATACATGTTTGTGTCCTCGGTGTACCTCTAATGGTACATCAGAGTTGTGACAGACACACAACTATCAAGGCCTGATTACAGCGAACAGACGAGATCAATGGGCTTCAGCAGAACATCGATGTTCATGCCTGTGGCGATGTTATATAAAGATTTAATGCAGGGACCAACTTTCCGGTCATGTTAAAGCTCCGATGGCCCGATGTGGCGTCTAAAGGAATTGAGATCACTATGTGGGCATCGAAGCCTCCACACTGAGGAGCTAAAGCCTTTTCTCAACAAAAATCAATTATCCAATGTGTTCTTCTACTTTAACTTATTAAAGAGCTCCTTTATCCTTGTAAATAAAGTTTAGTTTAACCTCTGCTGCTTCTTTTTTGTTCTTTTTTATAAATATCTGTTTATCGCAAACCTTACAGCATCCTAAATGCAGTATGAAATTAATTAAATCCAAATATAGCCAGATCATTTCTTTATTACTAATCGAGCGCTTGAGCTCTTTTTTTTCCTCCCTAATTTCTTTTTGGAAGAAATAATATTGACGCACCTTTTGGAAATCCAATGACGGAGAAGTACAGCTGCTTCCTCTTAGTACTGAACCAACTCTTTCATTACAAACTCCAAAAAAAAGATAAAAATAAAATGGCACCGGATTTCAGGAAGGACCTTGATGGTTTGCTGATTCACTTTATGAATGACCTGGAAGCCGCCGGTGCCATGTTCCACATTTGTCACATTTGATTCATGGCTAGAAAATAAAATGTCAGAACACTGTTTGCTGTTTTTATTCAAAGAGTTTTTAAAAGAAATGTGGAGTACCAGGCTATAAATGGTGGTTCTTCATGGTACCTGCTAGTTTTTAGAGGCACCTTTAGCTCGTTTTATTGGTTGGAACCACTTCAAAGCATGGATCTTACCCCTGATTATGAATACTAATTGAAGAGCATTTCATTATGTTGTAACCATTATGGTATGAGGAGTATTAAACAGAGTTTCTGAGATCTTTCTTACTGTTTAGAATCCAGTTTTTGCTGAAAAAAATGGAAGGGATATGCCAAAATCCACCTAAACCTGTGACTTAACATATTAAATATACTGATTATCTTACATTTGTAGACAAAACTTCCATTTAATTTTGTAAAAAAGAGACTAATGTCAGGATTTTGTGTGATATTTTAAAATATTTGTTTATATAATGGTCTTTAAGGTGCATTTTATTCCACATCCTGAACACAACACTTAATTTCATTTTTTAAAAAAGACTCGGTTTCATTGCTCATATTTCAAGTGTTTTGACTTTGAAGCTTTTATTCTGTTGACACGCTACTCCAAAGCTCTTTACAGCCTTCTGGTGAAAGGTGCTTTACATGACCGAGTAAGTGTGTAAGTAGCCCTGGAGGGCACCGGCATTCTGCCTATGTAGTACACAACTTTCATGCATGGTATGCTGCACGTTTGAGTGAGTTACGGCTGTTGTCAGGCATGTACGCTGATCACAGGAGCTCTGAAGCGAGGCAGAAGACGCCTGACAGGTCCTTGGACCTCTGAATGCAGATGACCTTGCCTAAAGCGCAGTTATGGTGAACCTGGTGAGGAGACCCTTTACAAAGGCCAATTGGGGTCATCGAACATTCACGCCGAGTTAAGTGCTCGGTGTTCGTGCCTCGTCGCGCGGCCTTTTGAGCTCGTCGTGTACTTGTCATATGCCTTTCTGCACATGTGTAGGCAAAGCAGTGCAAAGCTCCATTAGGCGCTGACACGAACACGCGCCAACACAGCGACACCGCCGCCAATCAACACCTGCAGTTTCCGATCTTCGCTGCTCGTACCGTCGAGAATCGACACCTAGTTCTGCAGCGCCGTCTTTTATATTCCCAACAGCTCTCCCATGTTAAAACTGCTCCAGCTCCATGTGATTAAATAAGAACTTCCCAAAACAAAGAGAGGATCATAGCAAGCTAAAAGAGCCCAACAGTTTCCAGGCAAAGGAACAGACAAACGTAGAATCTGTACATTTCTACACTCAAAGGAAATAGATCATTTATTTTATCTAACAGGTATCATCATAAAATTTCTCAAGCTGATAACTTGTAATAAGACAATAACCTTAGGTAGCATAGATGTTCTTAAATGTTATGTTTAAATATACAAATGAGGTATCATATGTCTAAAAATGCCCAAATTTGAATTCATTTCCAGAACAGAAATCTGAACATTGGGTATTTTCAAAAAAGTCTCTGCACTGGTTACCAGTTTTTTCGTTTATTTGAAGATGAATTTAAGATCCTGTTATTGGTTTATAAAGCTCGTAATGTTCTAGGTATTGCATATTTATCAGATGAATCTTATGAACTCTCTGGAACCCTCAGGTCACTGGCAGTGGCTTTTAAATTTAACCAAATGTACGTTGTGTTAAATTTAATTTGATACATAAATCAAGTCTGACTGATCTCTTTTCATCACCCCATAAAAAAGAAAAGCAATTACAGACAGAAACAAACGAAACAAAACAAAAAAATCAGCTCGTTTTTAGGAGTAAAATGTTCATGATAATGTTCATAAATCAGACTGGGACTGACATAAAGACAAACCCTTTTGCAAAAACCTTGAGAATGTAGGTTGGAGTCAAACTGGAAAGCTCGGTGTGTTTAAATGCTACTAATGGGGAGATTTTGAATATGAGAGGAAATGATCTCTAAAGATATGAATTGTAATAGATTTGTATTGGTAACCAATATGTGAAGGTTTAACAAAATAACTAATAGATATTTAAATGAAATTTTCCAAATTCTTTGCTTGTTTTTTCTCCAATTTTCTGCCTAAAGATGGAAATGAACCTCATTAATTATGCACTAATTTGCACCATTGTCCCACAGACAAAAGGTAGGAGGAGCATAAACACCGAAATGTGCAGCCTGACATAATAAATCTCAAAATTGGCCAGGGAACGCAAAAAAAACAAAAAAACAAAGATGTTTTTCGCCCGCCGTGTCTCGCTGTGCGACTGATTAGTTACAACCTAATTATCAAAATAACAGCGAATTATTTTGGCCAAGATAATCACATTATGTAATTCCCGTAATGACACGTTCCCTCAGGATTGCATTCAGTGCATTAATAACACTAGTTAATGTTTCCTCGTTAAAAGCCCAGAGCCAAACGCGACCTTACTTCATAAAGTCATCGTTTATTGATCTCCACGATGCAGCTTTCACTTGTCGCCCTACAAAGCCGGGTACCGAGGTCAGCGTTCCCCCTCCCCCTCACTCGGGAATTCATTCAGGACTTTTGCTCAAGGACACTTCAGCAGTCAGGTGGCAAGAGAGGACAATAACTGCAACAACAATGGCTTCTGAGTACCTGAGAGTCCAACAAAAAAGACAGCTGGCTCCCACTTTTGTCCCCCAGCGTGAGATCCTGAACTTTAAATAAATGCTCACTGTTGAAATATTATCCTCGTTGCTGAGATGGGGTCAGAAAGCCGACGGGTGTGATTTACGCCGAGGTCAAACGAGCATCGATCGTGACACCTCGCAGCCAAAAACGGTCAGCGTTGGACCTGCAGTGAATTAGCCGGCAGTCAGCAGGTTGTGTTGTCTTTATTAATGGCAAGGGACCTGCTTCCTCTCTCTTTTCTGTCACTCTTCCCTTCTTTCTCCCTTCATTTCCTGGCACGGCTCCTAATGGGCGCGCTCCATCAGCTCATTACTCAGACGGATAAAATGGCTTTTTATGTGGCGCCGGTGCGAGCAGACCCGAGCAAATGAGGAGAGATCGAGGGAGTCCATTTCCAGGCCCCCCTCACACAGAAGCATGAAGGATTTTCTCACCATTATTTGTGAAAAATGACTAAACCCCTTTTTTGCATTCTGACTCAGAATGACGAGGCGCTGTTTGAGCGACGGGCAGAAACGCATCGGCGCGGCCCGACAGAAGATAGAGACTAAAAGCTGCGGCTAATTGCCTAAAATGTAAATTGACTTTTAAATGAGCAGCAGATGTTAATAGCCGCATCCATTTTAATACGAAGCCTATAAGAAACGCTGGAATACATGCATCCAAAGTGGTTTTCCTTTGAGGCTGTTATTGTGAAGTGCTTCGGAGGTCTAAACGAGAATGTAACAAATTAGACACGTACCTGATGCCTTTGATTTGTGCGATGCTGTGGTGGGAGATCCTCGACAGAGCGGAGATCACCTGAAGTAAACAAAGAAGACAAACAGTCAAGAACCCATCATTTCTACAGCTTTGTGAACATTTTTAGTATTACACTGGCCAGATCGGACAAAAAACTACCAAATTCTTTTTAAAAAATGTGACAAATTGAATAAAAGGATGAGTCAAAAGCAACAATCATCTGTAAAAGTGATGAAAAAACTAACTTCCAGAGAGTTAATTCAACTTTAACAGTCAATGATGGAATTAAATTCATTTACGATTGAGGTGCTTGAACTTTATAGCTGACTGTTGTGTTTGACTTATCTTTTTATTCCATTTGTCACTGATTTTATTCATTTTTTTCTCTCTCTGGTAGGTTTTTTTTGGTGTGTTTCTTTATTTCCACTACATTTTAGAGGGAAATATTGCCGTTTCTACTCCACTGCACACATCTACGCACTCATTCTTACTTTGAACATAATGATTATGTGCAATGAATCATATAGAAACCAGAGATCCAACCAGTGGTTTCTGACCTTCTTCTTGTTTCTTACAGGAAACACTGTGCGGTCAGAGTCCCATTTCAGAAGCCTCTGAGTTGCTAATGGCTCCACTAAATAGTGATTTTTCCCTCTAAACTTCTAGCACAGTTTCATCTCAATAAATGTTCTAATGATTTAGTATCTCAGCTTAGAGAAAAAGTCAAAACAGGTCTGTGTATCTGGGGTTTGTGTTTCTTTTCTCCCCCATTAATCAGATTTATCTCATGTGTCTGTACATAAAACTGTATATAAAGTAGCTCAAACTGGCTCCACCTGCAGCAACTGACACACTGATGCACCACTATATAACAATGTATCAGTCAGAGGGACCAAAACAATGCTTTTTGCTTCTAATACTTCTAATTACAGCTGTGAAAAGTTTCCAAACACTTGTAAAGACCAGGTATATCATGGAAGTCTAGTTTCCAATGACTCTTGTAACTCAGAATTTTCTATGATGGAGTCATTGAAACACATGTCTTCGTCATAAACAACAATTTAGGTTCTTTGATAAATGTATTGCAAGAAATATGACAACATCTGCTGGGTCAGAACTAGACATAAAGCAAGATTTGGTCCGTTTTCACCTCAACTAGGTTCCTTCAGTAGCTGCCCACAAGCTTCTGGTTGGATCTTTGACACCCCTCTGTAAAATTGGTGCAGTTCAACTTAATCTGTTGACCCTCTGACACAGACTTGTTTCACCATCACAAACTCTCTCTCATAAACTTTAGTTCATGACTGTAGGTAGGATTTCTCAGGCGGTATCCTTACACTGCTGAATTGAGACTTCCAACACTGGTAACATTAATTAAAAAACTAGTCAACAAAAGTGAGATGTACCCAAGAGGAAGATAAACTTTCCAGCCAACTTAAAAGAAAAGCTGCTCGCCGAAAGCTCGACATCCGCCGCTGTGCTTTGAGGCCGATTATCCAACATTATGTGTTTCTTAGCAACCCCTCTCAGGCGTATGCAGCTCCACGCAGGACTGTGTGTAAACATAATGCAGGCCGTCATGCATAATAGCGACATCCAAATACATGCAGTGCACGGTCACGCCTGGGTGGCTGGGATCTGATCGTAAACATGCACGTCCCTTTTTTTTTTTTGCCTGTCCTTGTTTTGTGTGGTTTTTCTTTACCTTCATTCTTTCTTGCTTTCAGTACAAAAAAGGTGAAACATGTGCCCGTATTAAAGCTGATTAAGGAGTCACAGGTAAGTGGGCTTATAGCTGAGGACTACAGATGGCGCGCTTGCAGGCTCTACAGAGGCTAGTTCAGGAAAACGAGGGAAACCACCACCCCGAAATTAGACAGACACACACACACACACAACAAACCAGAAACCCTGTCTCCTTCGCCTCATTACCCACTCCTGGGTGTATTTCAGGTTGCAACACCGTGGCAGCGCCAGATGTCTCCTCGACAGGGAGGGAGAAAATTGTTATCTCAACCCCTCTTCCTCGGCAGGTGTGTCACCCGCAGCCTCTCATCAGACTCCCTCTTCTCTAAACACACAATGTGGCACCTCGACGCTGTTTAACATTCAAGTTGAGGCCGCGCTAATGGCTGTTATGAAGAGCGGGCCGGCACTCGTGCTGAAGCGCTGTTGACCAAAAAAAACCTTTCGCTCTCTCCATTCAAGGCGTTAAAGACAATCAGCGGCGGAGAGCAGAGGGGTTGAGATGTACGTCATTTACATCTGCGGAGGGGAAACCTCGACGGGCCTCGGCGAGATGATAAGGGGTTACTTTTCAGTGCCGCTAAAGACCCATGTAATAGGCAGTCGTGTTCACGCTTAATGGCTCCAATATGGGACCGGTCTACCATTACACACCTACTTAACATATATGCTAAATGCACTTCGTGGATAGAGACCAAAATGGAAAGAATAGATTTCTAATTTAGCTTCACTGTTTAAGAAACCACTGTGGATAAACCCATTGTGCAGCTCGGTGGCATTTTGCCCACCTGGACATGCTGCAGGGAGGGATGGCACATGGCACGGTGCCCGATCGTCATTATTACCTCTGGATGACTGAGGATATAGCAAACGTGAATGAAACACTCGGATGAACGGATGGAGGGGTGGGTGGATTCGGTGGATAAATTTGGCATTTAATAGTGGTTAATATTTAATGCTGCCCAGCGCGATCGGCTGCGGTCGGATCCGGCTAAACGCAGCTGCCTTCAGCCGGGTTTTTGGTTCAAAGGAGGAGCCGAGCCACTGGATCTGAGCCAGAGAGGTCACAGCAGGGCCAGAGCGCCGCCTGGCCCGGAGAGACAAGGCATTAGTGTGCCAAGCGCCGAGCACGCTAGCGTGACTTTCACACATCAGAGGGTAGGGGCTATTAATATTAAACATCGAGAGTTTCCTCAACGTTAAGGAGTTTGTTCTCATTTTTTTTTTAAAGTCCATGTTAGCCTCACACACCATAATGTGAAAAATATGTCTGGATGCTGGCGGTTCGTGACTCCCTCTGGCTGCGGTGAGAAATGCTAATTTGCAATCTGTTTTTTAGGGCCGCTGAGGGGGGGGAGAAATTAGAATGTCGTGCCGAAAATGACAATGACATGTCTTATGTGTAAATTTAAAGTAGAGCTGCAACTTCAGCGTCAATGCAAATATGCAAAAGTCTTTGATATGATCTTCTTTTCAAACACTGAGAAGTGAAAAGCTGGTCCGACACATTTTGTTTCTATGTTTTATAGTGTCACGCCTCCTTCTGTGCAGCCTTTTGCTTAAAGGTGGCCACTCTGCTTGCTTGTGCTTTCTTCCCTCTGCCCATGTTTCTGTGTTTCCCTTTCTGGCTCGAATACACTCTCGTCACCCTCTTCTGATCCTTTGGTTCAGTCAAAGCCTTTGAGTCGCCACACATTATTAATTTCCCTCTCATCTCGTACTCCCCGGGGGGTCTTAACTCTGGGGTTAGCCAGAGAATAAAGCCTCTTTCACCCCCTCTAGGAATATGGAAAAGACAAGTCACACGATGGAGAGATAGCTTAGGGTTTCCAAAGCCCAATATCTTACCTTAATCACGACCCAACAGCCTCTGGCATCTCCCTAACCCACATTTGACCCTTTTTGTCAGTCAGGAGGATATAATTGAGGATGCACGTTAAGTCAAGCAGCCTCGCAGACACTGACATGCAACATTCGCAATCCATTTAATGCATAAAAACCTGTGTGTGTGTGTGTGTGTGTGTGTGTGTGTGTGTGTGTGTGTGCGTGCATGTGTGTGTGTTTACGTGGAGGGCCGTGCAGAGCGCGGATGAGGGCTGCAGCCACGGATTAACTGCAAGGCAAAGCCAAGTGTTTGCAAACACACGCCAACCTTACATGTCTCCTCACTCGCCACATGTGGCCTCCCGTCCCAGCTGGGCGCCAAGCGACGCCACATGTGACCACCCGACAACCAATCGAAAAAGACCCGCTGCAGGACCCCGGTTCCCCCTGGCAACGCCGACTGAATATGCATGGTCATCAATTGCCACTCAGATCAAATCCAAACTGCAGCCATATGCTGTTAACAGTCGGAAGGCGTGGCCGTGATCTGATTAAGATCTGAAAACATGCACAGGAGAGAGAGAGAGACTATCGACGGTCCATCACAAAACACACCCAGCTGCCACTTCGGTTTATACGCAACGCAGTCATGACACGATCATATCTCTCACCACAAATCAATGCAAAGCGTTGGAAGTCGTCCAACAAAAGAAGCAGAATTAATGAAAAATTCATCGCATTACTTATTTCTCTCTGTGTGCGCCAACAGCTAACTCCCTGATAGTGTGAGATATTTATGAAGAATTCACACTTTGATAGGACAGCATTGCTCTGGTTATGCCAGCCTGCCAAAGTGGTAGGCATGAAGCGAAAGGGGCACCGAGCGGGAGAGCTGAGAACAGATGGCTGAGTGGGAACCCTGCGTGCCCATCAATAATAGACAGACAGAGGAGGGACGGCCGAGTCGGTTTGTGTGTGTGTGTGTGTCCCACTGTCCCAGTGCCTCCGGGAGTTTCTGCCTTTTACAAACCGTCTCTTATTCTCTGACCTTTTTTATTTTTTTTCTCGGCTCAGTCTCTTTTTTTCCTCTTCCTTTTACAGTTTCTTTTTTTGTGCACACAAAAATGAATGCTTTTGAATGCTTCTACTGCAGAGGCTAGAAGAAAAGAGGAGATAAAACCAGTGTAAAGGTGCAAGTATATAACCTAAACTATATTATTTGTTAAGCCTCACATACTGGGTGGTCCAAGAAAGTTGATTTTTTCTTTCTTTTCTCTGTGTGCAAAAGACAAAAACAACAACAACAAAGAACCAATGTCTAAGACAATCAGTGAAACATACAAAACTACAATTGAAACCTATGTTTTTAGGAAAAAAGGTATTGAATAAATGTGTAGTTAACTAATTTTGAATCCAGACAAATCACTAGTCTACATTCGTGAGCACAAAGAAACCACAGAGCATTTATAAAAGTTGAAAATAACCACCAA